GAAATATAGGCATATTTAGAGCAAGTAGTTGGTACACTTGGAAGAAAAGTCAACCTTTTACTTCTTTTTACAGTGTGACAAAATGTTCTTTTGGTTGAAATTGGTATCTAATAAATTCTTACACAGAAGGATGTACAACACGAGTCGTAGACTGCATGCTTGATATAAAGGAACCACTAATTAATTTTATGGGTTTTCTTTTATAAAGCATTTTTAAAGGGCTATGCAGAGCTCTTCTTTGGATGTAAACTTAGGAATTTCCTCAGCCATTGGGAATGGACCCACCATGTTTTTGGAGAAAGCTTTAGTAGAACAGCAGCCACAAGGAACAGTGTTTTGTGGTTTAAATCTCCAGTCCTGTAACCTGTGGTGGCTTTGGTATCTGAAGAAATCCTGCTGAAACCTCACACATCCAGGAATTTGGTCTGAGTGGCTGGATTGAAACAGCACCCTTTACTCCTTTCATTTTAACCATCATGGCCATGAAAACCAAGAAATGCTCTTAAGCAACAATTGATAAAATGTCTATGTGCACATATGCTAGCAAAATACTTGTCTGGATTTCTTGCAAAAGAGGAAAAAATAAAAGCTCTAATGGAAATATTTCTGTTGTAGGGGTTTTAGTGTTTCTGTAGCCAGACTTCTGTTTTCCATGGTTAAATGTAGCAGTCTGTTTATGTCTGAACATTAGGCATTCTTCAGAGCTACCCAGAGCATTAGCTGCTCCCTTTAACATATCGTATCTGGCACCAAAATCATGATTGGTATGGTTTTGGGGAATTAGTATTCACAGTAGCCTGTCATGTTTTTCTGTTGTCCTACCTATTTGGAATGTGTTGGACCCCAGCTACAACTTCAGAAATAGCACTTTCTTAGGCTGTTATTTGATGATACAATAGCTCTAATTGTAGTGTAACTCCAGTATACATTATCAAATGGTGATTAAGAGATACCCAGTAATAATCTGATGTATAAACTTTCTCTGCCAGTTCAGGTTTGTCTGGAAAAAAACCCCTAAACAACCTAAAAATCCTGTTAGGCCAGGAGCCATATCGAGTGGCATCTGTTCTCCAGCATTTGGCATGAACCTGGACAAGGAGTACAAAGCTAGCACAAACATGTGGAGTGGAATAATGATTTGTCAGAAGCACAGCCAGGTTTGCACTGTTGGGCACTGATTAGACCTGGTGTTGGTGAGAGTGGAATTCATTCTCCTTTTTAATGGATTTTAGTTGTAGTTTTTGCCGCAGGTATGAAGTGTGTGAGTGATCCTCACGGGACAGAGGTGCTGGGGTGGGACCTGCCCAGTCTGCTCTGGGACAGGCACAGAAACACGGACACGCTTCTGCCAGCCAGGAGCAAAGCAGAGCTGGGGTTGTCTCTGGGATAAGAAACCTCATTTCCTTTGAAAAAAAGTAGCTTCCAAATGATTTTTTGTGTGATTCCTGGCATGGAATGAGCGGGTCAGTTTGTTTAGAGTACAGGTGTGTGTCCTGTCTGCTCCTGACCTGTTACTGAGTAAATCTCAAAGCTAGCATCACTATAGACAGTTGGCTTTTATGGCTGATGTGTGTTATGCCTGATAAATTTTGGGACTTCAGGGACTTTCTGTAGCAGTCTTAAAAATTACCTGGGATATCTGGATGTTGTGCTGATTGTAACTGAGCAGTGGTGTTACAAACTGCAGGCCCATCCTCTGGGAAGGGAAATAAAACCTGGGAAGATGCCTGCTGAAATGGACTTTCTTTTGAGCAGGGAATATTGATCCTGGTGTGGTCCCATGAGCAATTTGAGCATCATTCATAAGCTCTCATGCCCATCCTATTTTTACCTGTCATGGAGGTATTTTATTGATTTATTTAATCCTGGTTTTACCAGTGAGAAATCTGCTTCACATGCACTATGCCTGCTCCAGGGTGCAAAACAAAAGTAGAGGCAAGTGGGAGAGATTTCCTTTAAAAGCATAATTGGCTCTAAAACAGCAGTGTGGGTGCATCATACTTTACCGTGTAATTCCACTGAATGTTTTGAGGAAGACCTGAAATGTTTCTAAGGGCAAGGGGAAAAAAAAGGGCCTTAAGGATCTCATCACATTTTTAGAATGGGTTTGGGACATAAAGGTGCAAATATTTTAAGATATTTTAATGGTCCCTATGCAAATTAGGCTACAAATGTAAAACTGCTAGGAGTTACATGTTAACTTCTTACTTTTGTCTCATTTTTATGTGTCTTTTCAGTGATTTATTTTCTGCATATAAAATGAGCAATATTAATATCTATTAAAATGTCCAAAATGAGTAGTTGATTGCTTGTGGAAATAGTGAATTTGGGGGGAATTAGCCAGCATTGATGAATTAATTTTTTTAGGATGTGGGGTACATCTGTACATGCATGGGTCCATTGTCACAAACAATGTGAGAGTTGGCACTGTAAGCCAGGTGTTAATTCAGAGTGTGTCAAAGAGAAATAATTATTGTATCCTCTTCTGCTGTATTTTCTCTAACATGACCTTTTGCTTTGGGTTGGAAGGAAGGTGGTTTGCTGCTCGTTCTTCTGACATTTCTTGTGTCACTCACTTGGCTGTGGGACGCTGTCCCCAGGCTCTGCCCGAGCCACAGGGCCAGGGGTGGGTGAAACACAGAAAAACCCTTCCAGAAAATGTAAATGAGCACTGAAAACGTGCACAAAGCAGTATTTTGGTAAAACACCGGTACCTTTTAGCTTTCCAGTTTCAAGCCCCTCATCAGGCAAACTGTATTTATGGGGCTGTTTCTGTGTTTTTCTGGTGGCCAGGGTGCCACAGCTGGTGCTGCAGTGCCACCTCCCGATGGCCAGGCAGGACCAGAGCTGCTTGTGCAAAACACTCAGAATCAGCTTTGGAAAATGAGCCTCCTTTGATTCAGGTGGGGTGCACAACACTTCTGACAGACAAGCAAAACGTTGGGTTTTTGGTTTTTTCCTTCAGCTACCCAGCTATGTAACAGGTGAATTGATGTGGCACCTGCACGGTTCTGCTTTGAGGGGGGAGCCCTCTTTATATAAATAATTCAGGACCTCTCTGTGTGACAAATAGCACTTTCATCAGATTTCTGTGGTTTGATCTATCGTTTTTTGGTGATGCAGCAAGATTTTGAAACTCAGTGACAGACCTGTGAAAGAAACACTTCCATTTGTGTGTGTGTGTACATAATGTAGAAAAACCTTCTTTATGAGGCTCTTTAAAGTTAATTACCTTTTCCTCTGAAGGAAAATATTGTTCCTCTTCCTACAGCATTTTTCTGTAAAAAACAGTCTTAAAGAAAAATAATTTGCTCCATGTATAGCAACAAAACTTAGCTAAATAAAAGCAATGTTTGGTCCTGCACATGGTGGAATTAGTTGCTAGTGCATGAAATGGCTAAAAATGCCATTCATTTTACATTCTCCTCAGTAAACAAGTCTTCAAAGTATTTAGTGGAGTTTGGCAGGGATGTCTTGTACCCCAGATGGGGGCTGGGGCTGTGGAGGGGTGTGCTAGAGTTGGTATCAATGTACATTCCTGTACCAGTCATGTTGCACTTACTAGAAGTCATTGTCTTGAGGCAGCTTTTTCCTTTAGAAATGATAATTATTTAAGTAGAACTGCAGTTTTTATTTTTTTTTCCTTAAGAAACTAAAGCCATCTCCCCCACAGCATGGCTGTGAGCTGGGTAACCACATGCCTGGGACAGCTTTGGGGGATGTCCATGTGTGGTGTGAGGCAAATAATTAATTTTCATACCCAAGTTCATCCTTTAGCCCCTGCTCATGAGGTGTTGAATTGTGTCTTGTATTCAGCGCTTCAGCACGGGAGCAGCAGTGGCAAGTGGACTGTCCATGAAGCCTGGAGTTTTAGGAAAAGTCATTCTCTAGTACTTTTTTATATCAGATACCAGGTAAAACTTTGTCAAATAACAGTAGGAAAGTCACTTTGTCATCTCAGACTCCAGTGTAGGAGAAGCAATGGGGTGGTCAGCTGGGTAAAAACCTGGGAAGGGTTGCTGATGGAAAGTGCTGGACAGATAATTGGAAAAGGAGGTGGACATTATTTCATAACATGTTCTGAAAGCTGATGTTTTTGCTTGTTTACTTGGAAAGGTCAGAGTTTTCAGACATTCAGACATCATGAGAATGTTCTCAAAAATGATACTTTGAGTTAGAAAAAATACTGTATTCTGTCTCTTCATGTCTTAAAGACTGCTGTTTCCTCATATTTTCCAAGTTTAAAATCAAAAGTATATGTAATCATATACATGAATTGTCTTTCTTAATATTTGTCATTACAAAAATCAAGAAAAATATTATGTGTGTGTAAATATATACATCCCAACAATATTTTTGAAGCACTGATTGAAACCCTAGGGAAATGTTACTAAAATGAACTGTTTAAAGTTTGTTTCTAATAACAAGAATTCCTTTTGCAAAGCCAAAAGGTATGGCTGAGATGTTTTCTAATCTTTAGTGGAATTAGCTGGGCTTGTTTGAACAGACACTGTGATGTAGCTCATACTGTTCTGTACCTTTTCATTAGAGCCAGGAGTACCTGAGAATTGGAGTAGATAAGAATGTAAAAGTGAGAAGCTTCCTGGATGCCAATGTGAAACCAAGTTTTGGTCTTTGTTAACCAGGCAGAGACCCATGTTATAAGAAATGTGTTCCATAATGTAATGAAACTTGATTATCTTTTCAAACCTGTGATAGGAAGCCTTTTTTAGTACTGGTATTAAACAGCAGAGTTTCCCAGTCCATACCAACTTGCATCATATGAGAATCCAGCTTGTTAATATTTAATTTACTGACCTTTATTTTGTGGTGAGACAAATGACTTTTTAATGACTCCAGTGGACTTATTTGCATTATAAAATAAAGCCATTGTCTATGCTGCCAGGGAGCTACTTACTTTATAAATATAGCATTTGTTGGGAAATACTTATTAGGTACTAAAAGTATTTAATTGACCTACTTTTTTTTATTATTTGCAGGGTTGTGTCCTTTGTTGTGACCTCATGGTTTAACTGGGAATAAAGATGAGTATAAGCAGTGATGAGGTTAACTTCCTGGTATATAGATACTTGCAAGAGTCAGGTGAGTTTTTACAATTCTGGTTATTAAACAATGCATAATTTATTTGATCTTCATCTGCAACTGGCTTTAGCAAACACAGGCTCATTTAATTATTTTGCCAGTAGGCATGGATTCTGTCTGAACTGTTTCTTGGTGTTTCTTCTCAACAAGAGAGTGAATTCCTGCCAAGTTACCTTCTGTAACTTAATCAGATTTAGTCATTTGGAGTCTTTGGATGGCAGTCGAGCAGCCAAGGACTCACTCGATTGCTAAAATGCGTTTTCCTGGAGATCTCTTCTCCACGGGGTGATGATGGCACTTTGCACCATTTCTTCAGGGCTGCTTGAAGAAGAAAATAGAAAGATCAGCAAGATGCTGTTTTTTCCTGTTGTTCTGGAGTGTTGGCGCTCCTGCCAGCTGGTCTGGTGTAGCCAAATTCCTTGCCTGAACGTGACCTGGGAGGGCAGATGTGGCTGAGTTTCAAAGGAAGAAGTGCCAACTGTGACTGTGACTTGTATCACTTGACTCTAAATAGAGATGCACAGATTTTTTACAGGAATAACCCTTGGGGTTCCCAAAAGCCTTATCCCCTCCAGGACCTTTTTTTGGAGGATCTTATCCTTCTGAGTAGCCAGAATCTCTTGCTTCTTAGGAGAAAGAGCAAAAGACACTTGAATATTGTCAGATTTGAAAACAATCCCTTTTCCTATCATATCCCTGCGCACTGGCTGTGTCTGCACAACACAGGAATGCAGCAGTGCTCCCTTATTTTTAAAGCTTCCCCAGCCCAGTCAGATCAGCAGTTTGAGTTTGTGTTGCATGTTTGGGTTTCTAGATGCAGCCATATGGCTTCAGGGAGTTTTGTGGTGGTGGTTACTCGTGAAGCTCTGTAAGAGACAACATCATCTTTTACTCACAACTGTGATATTGATTGCTTAACACAGCCTACATTTAGAATGGGAAGATCTGACTGGAAGTCAGGGCATGCCCCAGTAAATGAAAAAGTGATGATTGTCAGCTGGCAGGAGGGAATATGATCTCAGCAGTATGTAAAAGAAGTCTGCATATTAAAGCAAAAAATACACTTTTATCTTAAGACTGGAGTTTAAGAGATCAGCTTTAATGTATATACCTATAGATATATAAGAAAATATATACATATTTCATATTTTACCTTACTGTTTCAACTTTTGATTCGTAGTTTTTGTTTAGTGATTGCTGATGGGTGGCTTCAGGCTTGTTGGAAATGCATTTGACTGATGCAACATATGTCCACTGCTCATGGACTTCCCAAATTGAGGAGAGGAGCACCAGAAGCAATGGTGGATGGCAGAGTTTACAGTTTCTGCTTGTCAAAAGAAAGCAAAACCTCATTTTTCTGCCTGAATTTTCTGAAAACTGCTACATGCTCTTGTTCCAGTTGCAGATTGCTTTTGTCATAGAAGCCAAACTTACAAAATTGCTTCATCTTCATTTGAAAGTTTGAAGGCAGCTTCTTGCTTACCTGACAGGGAAAAAGGAAAAAAAATAAAGTGGTTTAAGAAAAAATGCCATGACAATAGTTAACTTGCTGAAACAACTATTTTTCTGTAGCTTAAATTCACTTTTTCAAGGTGATCAAATAAATAGCAAGCAACAACCATTGCTGCACCATGTTTGCCACTTCTTTATCAGTGAGTGCACAGTGCTGATGTAGCTCTAAATGGCAGTGTGTGTACAATTATGGCAGCATTGCAGCATGAGCTGAATTCTGTTCACATACAGATCCATTTAACTTTCATGGGTATCAAATCAGTGAGTGAAAACAGCAAGTGAGTCTTGTGTCTTGGATACATATATTTTTATTAAATACTACATATCATACAATACTTACACATAGTTGGTGAATATATAAACACATTTAAATGCTGTAGTGAATAGTATATTTTATATTGATTCATGCACAAATGTTTTGCCATTGATACTGTTATTAATAATTGTTGTGTTTATATATGAACTTTGCTTTTCTCCTTTTGTACGCTTAAACTATAAGGGAATTAAGGTGTTTTGACAGGTTTTTGGTAGTTTAGAAGCATTCTGTAGCATTTTACTTTGCATAATTTGCTCAGGTGTTAAACAGAAGGTCCTACTGTGGTACAGCAAGTAGCATTGTCTGTCTGTAAATCAATTCTGATGTCTTTGCCTTGTCTTTAGGGTTTTCCCATTCAGCATTTACCTTTGGTATAGAGAGCCATATCAGCCAGTCTAATATAAATGGTGCTCTGGTGCCACCAGCTGCTTTGATTTCCATCATCCAGAAAGGTCTGCAGTATGTAGAGGCAGAAGTCAGTATTAATGAGGTAAGGAGGCCTTGCCTGCAGGAGCATTGTGTCCTTGCTTTGCAGTAAGTTTGAATGTCAGTATTTTTGCTTAACTTTCTTGTACCCTGTCTACTTACTTTTACTTCAGATTCCTTTCTGCTGGTGTTCCCCATAACTCTAGTGGTGGAACCAGAGTGGAGTGACATAACTGGGTGGATTCTGCCCAGGGCAGCCACACAACACCAGCCATGGTGTTCTGGCTCACTGCTTAAAGGTCCATTGTCTGCAGAGCTCTTACTCTTCTCTAAGGTTCTAGTGCATCCAGTGCAGTAGGATAATAATGGAGACCAGCAATCTCTTCATTTTTTGGTTTGTTAGGCACTAGGGAGGTGGGAGAGCACTGTGCAGCTCTTGTTTGGGCTCTTGTGTCATCACAGTGAAGTAATGTGAGCCCAAAGGCAGGATTTCCAAGGAGGGGGTTTGAATTTGTGGCAGGAAGGCTGAAGGTATATGCCAGTTTGCCTTTTGCCTCTGCTGGCTAATTCATCTTGAGCAGGATCTGTTAAATTTGATGTTTAAATGGTTATTCCAGCAGTACAGAAAGCTATGTATCTTCCTGCCTGATGCTGCAGACACTCTCCCTCAATTTCCATTCTCATTTGTGCCTGGAAGGTGAGAAGCCTTTCTGTGTGTCAGTCAGATTACTGAAGGAACCTTTTTTTTTTTTTCCCCCATTAATTCTGCTCACTTTCCAGTCTCCCTTATGTCTGCTGTTTGTGTGGTTTTCACAGTCCTAGTGAAACAAATCCTTTCCCTTAGGAAACCTCAGAAAAATAAAGTGATAGGAGTAGAAGAAGAAGACCCTATATTTATTGCAAGGAATCCTTCTAGTCCCTAAAAATAGATCCTTACAAAGCCCTAGCATATGTATAAGAGTATTTTTAACTGGGTCTTGTCCATTTCAGGATAAAATTCTTCCTTGTTGTTTGAAAGCATGCCAGCACAGTTTAAAAAAAGGAAGAAAACTAGTCAACTCCCCAGATAATATGTTTATGGAAAGTATTAGTCTAATAAGACTATAACTTCACAAGTCAGTGACCCGAGTTGCAATGTTTGCAGCTCTCTCTTCAAACAAACCATTAGATTTTGCTGCAGCCACTCATGTTTGAAATCATATTCATAGATAGCTTACAGAATTTTTTTGCTTTAGCAGACAATTCAGCAAACTCAAAGCAAGTAACTTCTGATTCCACAGGCTCTCCCAGAGGCCTGCAGTGGCTTTTTTTGCATATTTATGGTGGCCACTTAACTTTAGACTAAAATTCCAGTCCTGACCACAACAATGATGAGATATCACTTCCAGCAGCATATGTAAACCACTTTATTCTATTAAATCAAAACGTTTTCTTTAGTTTTGCTTGGAATCTTTGCCCGTAATGTTAATTCCTACTTGGTGTTATCTTTTTTTTTCCCTTTTCTCCCTGTGCTGTAATTTAGGATGGTACCTTGTTTGATGGTAGGCCGATAGAGTCTCTCTCACTGATAGATGCAGTGATGCCTGATGTGGTACAGACAAGACAACAGGCCTACAGAGACAAACTTGCACAACAGCAGGCAGCAGCTGCTGCAGCTGCAGCTGCCACCAACCAACAGGGATCAGCGAAAAATGGAGAAAATACTGCAAATGGAGAGGAGAATGGAGCACACACTATAGCAAGTAAGTTGAGACAGAAATTGCTTTAAGCTGGCTTAGCATTTCCTAGTTTATCATTGTATGAGCTTGTAGACAATGAGGTAAAAATGTGGAGTTTGGAGTAACCCTTCAGCTTGCAGAGAGTTCCTTCATCATGGATGGTACTTGAACAGATCATGTCTCACCTTTGGTTGTCCCCATTTTTGATATCTGGGGTTGCAGGAGTCAGAGTTCTGAATTCATTGATTCACAGTCCAGTCTTCCCTTGCATAAAAAGAAAAACAAAATTGAGTCCTGTACAAGGAATGAGGAAAGGAGTCTGCCAATCCATGGCTGGTTAAAACTGAGTATTGCTTGTGAAGCTCTCCAAACTCTTTCCAAAAAGTTCTGTAAAACCCACGGATCCAAGAGCTGTATCTGGCTCTTCTAGTGATACCGAGGTCAGGGTTACTAGGACAAGCCCTGTGTCCCTTGTCTCTTATACCTATATCAGTTTTCACTATTTGCTGTTCAAAATTGCTCAATGCAACTGCTCTCAGGTTTGCTTTATTCATGAATTCCATTTTAGTTGTGATTGGTGAAATAACTGATCTCTGTTTGTCATCACTTCTCAAAGGAACCATCTTACAATGAGACTTAGGATGGAAAAGTCGGAGTCAGGCATTAAACTGTGATTTTAAAAATACTCTTCTGGAAGTGTGAATTGCGTGTTTAAGTGTGGGAGTTACAATTCTTTCTGTAAAAACACCTGAAGAAATGGCATTTTTGAGAGAATATTAATATTGAGCCATGTACAAATTTTACAGCCTGATTTTACTAGATTTTTTTTGTTAGCATATATGATAAAAAACTAGAAATACATTCTTTGGCTGAAACAAATGAGGTCTCTAGTTTGATGCTTTAATTTAAAAATCTCAAAGGAGTATTGATAACTGTGAGCTGGCTAGAGGAAGGGTAGACCTCGAATCTCAGCCCTGTTAAATGTGATCTACCAGCAACCCCTGCTGGCTGTACAGCACTTCAGACTGGCATCGATCCTCTGACTGAAGCAATGCTTTATGTGGTGCTCTTTCTGAAAAAATACTGCTGTTTTAATAGCCTTTTCTATTTTCTCACATGCACAAGCAGTGACAGAAACTCTTAATGCTAAATTAAGCAATAGCTGTGAAATGATTTCTTTAACCACAGTGAATAAATATGGAGCAGGTGAACTGTGCAGCATTCCTTACATTCTGCATTTGCACTCATTGTGAATTTATTTTTAATAATAGAAAATGATTGATGGTAGATGCCAAGAAAACTGTTTTGTCAGTTGAATTACCCCCAGTATATTCTACAGAACAATATGGTTTCAATCTCACTTCCATGCAGAAAGTTACACTGCCATAATTCCAGGGTAATTGCTGATGAAGTTTGAGAAGCTTGGTTATGTTAACTCTATCAACAAATGTGATTATATTCATTAAAGGAATATTGTAAATGGAGTGTTGGAGATGTCAATTTAAAACCTGTTTGACTGCAATTGGTGAAAAGAGATTTTTGAAAATGAATGTGTTATACATGTATTTCTACAGCACAAGCTAGACTAGTAACATATTGTACTATGCAGTATTGGGCCTGAAAAACAGAGTACTTGTAACAGCATTTATTTTTTAGCATAGCAAAAAATTCACTTTTGGCCCTGATTCTGAAACTCCAAATTTAAATCCATTTGGATGTGAAGGTTTACAGGGGCGAAGAGCTTTCTCACATTTTCGAAACTCCCCATCTGTTTATAGTGCTTCATTAATTAGAACTGAAGAAATAAATGAGCATGACAGCTCTGTCAAATTTTTGAATCACATAAATTGTGAATTCTTGCACTTGTGGCAGAAGAATCTGAACCATAGAGGAGTCACAACGTCCCAAAATAGTAAAATCCACCTCTCTTTACTGTTGTTTCCCATAATACAGATAATCACACAGATATGATGGAAGTAGACGGAGATGTGGAAATCCCTCCCAACAAGGCAGTGGTGCTGCGTGGCCACGAGTCCGAAGTGTTCATCTGTGCCTGGAATCCCGTCAGTGACCTTCTGGCCTCAGGGTATGTGCACTGCCTATGTGTGTGTGTGAAGTGTCTGTGCTGGGGCACACTGGAGATTATTATTATTATTATTGTTATTGTTATTATTATTGTTATTATTGTTATTATTGTTGTTGTTATTGTTATTATTTTTGTTATTATTATTTTTGTTATTTTTGTTATTATGTATTGTTATTGATGATTATGCACAGGAAGGACAGAAGGCTCAGGGAACACCTGCCCCAAACATCAAATGCTACGATGTTTGTTCTTTAGAGAATAGTGCTTTAAAACTGAATTTATTATTCTTAATTAATATATAATAAAATCAATGTACCATAATGTACAGCTACCATATATAAATAATATATAAAAATATATATAAGTATAAATATAAATATTTATATTTATATAAATATGTAAGTATCATTATATGTAATAGATATTAGATATTAGTATAATTATAATTTATATATTTACATAATATAGTATACATCACATACCGTATTGTGTAGCACATATATATTATATTCTATATTATCTATTCTATATTGCATACTATGTATGTATATACATATATGCATATGTAATATATATAAAATATATAAGTATATAAATGTAACATATAAAAATGTATGTGTAATATATATAAAATGTAAATATATGTGTATACGTAATATATATAAAAACTATATATAGTGCTTTATAAGGCTATAGTTATATATATTATATATTATATATTACATATTATATATATCATATATGTCATATATATGATATATAATATATATGATATATGATATATAATATATACTATCTGTTATTTTACATACCGTTTATTAAATAGTAGGTAAAACAATAGATAATACATATTATATTGTCCCATATATTACAATGTTGCATATTATAGCATCTATTATAATGTCGCCTATTATTAGCATATTGTATATCACTGGTGTATGGTATATTGCTCGTTATACAACATTACAGCCTGTCATTATGATGGCACATGTGGCTGTCCCCATGAAATGAAGGGGATGGCCGTGTGTGAGCAGCAGGATCTCTGTGCCCCGGGTGTTGTGCAGGTCTGGCGATTCGACGGCGCGGATCTGGAACCTGAGCGAGAACAGCACGAGCGGCTCCACGCAGCTGGTGCTGCGGCACTGCATCCGGGAGGGCGGGCAGGATGTGCCCAGCAACAAGGACGTCACCTCGCTGGACTGGAACGTGAGTGCTCCCAGGAGAACCCTGCTCACAGCCCCTCATGGCCACGGGTTAACTGACAGCAGCGCTGGCCTCTGTGCCACCACCTGAAATGTTTGTTTTGATCAGCGTTGTAACTTCATTTATACTTCAGGAACTCCTTTCTAATAACTTTCAACCAGTAAAATACCATAAATCCTATGCATAGATCCTATCCTATCTATTCTACCTCAAATTTCCTCTGTGCTCTTTAGCTTTGACCTAAGCAGCAAAAATAAATAAACAAATAACCTTTTTGCTGGCAGAGTGAAGGTACACTTCTAGCAACTGGGTCTTACGATGGCTTTGCAAGGATATGGACTAAAGATGGTAAGCAAAATACTTTTTAATTTACGATATATTTTCCTATATTGTGGCTCACGGCATAGTTTTTTTATTTTTTAATGTATTCATATCAATATAAATTTTCAGGTAATCTTGCCAGCACCTTAGGGCAACATAAAGGTCCTATATTTGCGTTAAAATGGAACAAGAAAGGAAACTTCATTTTAAGTGCAGGAGTGGACAAGGTGAGATAATCTTTGGTAAAATTAAAATTCTTTCCTTCACCGTTTTAATCTAACTGTAAGCAAAATAGCAAAACTATGCAAAGTAAGTAAATGAAACTAAAGGCTTGGGATGTAAATATGTGCTTACAAAGAACTTGTTATGCTATAGCTATGTTTCCTTGGGTTTTATAGCAATTTATTGAGATATTTTAATTTCCTAGATTTCAGTGTCTCTTCCCATTTATGTTAGTCTGAATTGGAAAGTAAGAGTATTGAAACCAGAAACATTAAACCTTTCTAAATCCAAACCATCTAAATTCAGTGAAGCACTTCAAGCAAAGCCTTAGGAAAAAAAATTGTACTAGAGGGGTAGGTCGAGGCTGAGTTGGATGTCAGTCAAACCTGAGAATAATTGTAAAGATTAGAGCTGGAACATAGGGAAGTTGATATATGTCACTGGGGGGCTGCCAATTGTGTAATGCCACAGAGCTCATTGTATGACTATTTTATTTCACATCTCTAAACAAATTCAGGTTTACAAGGTCTTCCAGTTCAGAGCTGCTGTTAGTGTGAGAGGTTTTATGTATGAATGGTAGGAAGGGCATAGAGTGATGGGAAATGTACTTAAAGTGAATTCAGAGAATCAAATAGACTATAGCAAGAGTAAGGAGAGTTGATTTTTTTCCTCTGTAACTGATTCAAGGTGCAGAAGTCAGCACAGGTTCTCTCTTAGAGTGACAAACTGCAACCTCAGTACAGCCACTTAAAACTGACAGTGTCACTGTAAAGTAGGACATTTTCTCCTTTTTTTTCTTTTCCTGCATGCTTTTACTTGGTTTGCTTTATTAGCCAGCTTTATAAATGCTTGTGCTGGCACAAAGGAAGGAAAATTTAATGTCTCAAAGCATGGAAAGGATGTGTTTACTCTTTTGGCATCTGTGATGGTTATGCCAAATTTTAAATATTTGTGGAAGTACAGCTTTCATTTGCAGGGAAATAATTAAGGAAGAAATAGAAACCTCATTCAGTCAATAAAACTTCTTAGACAAACTGAGGTTATGCTTTGAAAAATATTCTGCTTTAGCAGAGCGAGTGACCCAACCTTAGGCTCCTTTTCCATAATTATTTTGTGTGGTCAGTTCATGCTTCCATTGAATTTGATGTTAAAATTTTCATTGGTCATTGAGGTAGGGCAGGGCTATTGGCATATAATATACTGATGGTAAGATACTGATTTTGTCATGTAAGGTTTCTTTAACCAGAAGGTTATGAAAGTATTGGCAGAGAACAACATAGAATGAAATTACACCCTTAAATTTTTTAGTATGTGACTAATTGTTAATAACATCTCCTTAGGAACGAGTGAGTAGCTGATACTACAAATTGAATATACAAGTATTTGAAATTAAAATAGGTGTGTGGAATGGATTGGGAGAATATAAATAGGACTAAGGGGATAAAACTGTTTAAAAGCCCACAAATTCCTTCTTCCCTCTAGACCCCAAAATGTTGTGGCTAAACATCTTTCTAATCCAATCTTAAATTTTCTACTGTTTTCTGTACATCTACTACTATTTCTTTTAGTACTGGATCAAACTCTAGAAATGTATAATCAAGAGCAGGTTTGGGTGATGGTGAGCAGGGTAGGTATTCTCATACTTGTGAGTGGTGGTAGTTGTGGGGAAATTTGTACAAGTTTGTTTATTGTTTATTTATCTGTTTAACACAGACCACAATTATTTGGGATGCCCACACTGGCGAAGCCAAGCAGCAGTTTCCTTTTCATTCTGGTAAGTCTTGATTTCATCATTCAGATTTGTCATCTGAAAAGACAAAAATGTTATTTTTAAAAATAAATTTTAAAATCTGATGTTTGTGGTGCTTATTTGCATAATTTAAGAATCCTACAGGTAGTCTGGTTACTTATAGTCCCATATTGGAATACTGAGAATGTAAACAAAGATGGATTTGTTCTGATTTTATAACTCACAGTTTTATTGCAGTTCCAACAAAGTTATAGGAGACAAATAATCCAAGTATTCCTGACTTTCTGGAGTGTGCTGGCAGACAAATCATGTAGGCATGCCACAGGGATTAGTGTTTCTCACCTAAGGACTGCATTTGTCATCCTCCTGCTGCAGAGATCCCACCCCATATCCTATTGTATCCCATTGTTCCCCTGTCCCAGATTGTTTGGCCACAAACCAGCTGAAAGCTGTTCCCTGGCCAGCTGGGGTGGCAGTGCAGGAGGTCAGACAAATTGCTCTGTGGGCTGCATGCTGAGCAATCCTGCCAGAATCAGCTGGAAACAGAGTGGAGAGGATGGCAGACGTGCCATTGAAGTTCCTTTAAGAAACATGTCTCATTCCCACTCCTGTTCTGCTCGTGCCACATTTCCAGAGCCATGACAGAAACATCAGAAACATCAGCTCAGTCAGAAACATCAACTCAGCGTTTGCTCCAAGCAGCTCTCCCTGTGCTGTCTGCCATAAATAGCTGGCTTGATCAAATGGAACATGTTGCCCATGATTAAGCTTCAAGTTACCACACCTTACAATGCTGGAATTAAGAAAGGAAATAAATCCTCACCCATCCATGAGCAGGAGCTGCTGGTGGAGATGAGCTCATGCAGGATGATGTGTGAAGCTGTGGGAACCTGTTCCTTGTGCTGACTCCTGAGATTTGTTTGTAGATGACTTAACTACAGCTTGATGTCCTGCTGCACTGTCTTCTGTATAACTTTGATTTCACATATGTTCCATATTATGATGACTTATTTTAAATTTGTTCCATTTTGTGTAAGACTTGTTTTAGCTGCATTTCTTACTGTTCATAGTGTAGATCTTCAGAACTGCTGTAAAATTAACGATTGCTTCCTGTTGGTTTTTATTCCAAGGTGGTGCATGTTAAATTTGTTCATCAAATTCCTGCAGAGTGTGTACCATAGCTTTAAATATCTTTCTTTTTCTTTTAGCACCAGCATTAGATGTTGATTGGCAGAGTAACAACACATTTGCCTCTTGCAGTACAGACATGTGTATTCATGTTTGTAAACTAGGACAAGATAGGCCCATCAAAACCTTCCAGGGTCACACAGTAAGTACTGCAAAAAGGGGGTTGCTCTGTGATGTTTTTATTTATGAGAGATTGGGAGTCAGTAAACTTACCAGTATCCAGCACTGGTGTAATTGGTTACAGCCAGTAGAGGCACACATAGGTAGTTGTGGTTAAGGTCTTATGGTAATCACAATCTCTGTGATTATCAGAATAATTGTCTCCTCCATGTGCAGCTTGTTTTACTAGTGTTAGGGTGCAAGAGTGAGCTTTAGGAGAAGCAGCATGGTAACTCCAAAACTTTATCAGGTGGTGTACAAGAATGCATGGGAAATGTGATAAATGGATAGCAAAAAGCTGTTAGTTGTTATTGCAGGCAAAGCTATGAATAAAAATTAAGTGTTAAAATCCTGACAATTATGCAAATGCTCATAACTGCTGTCCAGCTTTATCTTTTGTAAGCTATCATTTTGTAATGGAAGGGAGGACTCCAACTAACTCTCATTGTTCACTTTTAGAATGAAGTAAATGCAATCAAATGGGATCCAACTGGTAATCTGCTGGCATCCTGCTCTGATGACATGACTCTAAAGGTAATGGGAGTTGTGGGCTGGCCCTTGTCTTTGTAGGCTCTGGAATGCATTCCCATTAGCCTGGACATCCCAGCAATATCACTGTACTTGCTGTGTTGTCCTATATTCGTTCTTTTTTAATGTAACAAGGTTAGGCAATCCTAGAAATCCTTGTTAATCAGGGCCAAGCTTTGGTCCAGAGGACTTGTTACAGGCTGCCAGCCTGAGACTTGGAGCATGATTTATTAGGTGCTTTTAGCTGTGAACAGAATCAGGTCATTAATCATTAAGCTGTCACGCTTGATGGTTGCTTTTGGTTAAAAGAATGAAGTTGGAATGCATGTCAGGTAGCACATTCAGGAATGGGTGACTTGCTCTTTTCCTGGTTTTCTTCTGCTTTCCCCTTCTTTCTAGTTAAAATCTTTGGCATGTTGTTTCTTCTGAGGCCATGTGCATTCCTGCATTTTTCCAGTTCATCAGGAGTCATTCTGCAGTTTTCAATCACACCTACACTTGTCCTCCAAGTGTTTCACAGCTGTCTGCTTTCTTGTAGAACAGGGGCAAACTTGTGAGTGCAGAGGACACTGCAGCTTACACATGTGGCTTCAGGGCACTCCAGACATCCTTACAAACCTGCCACCAGCAAAAATGAGATTGTTCATGCCTGACAGGCCTGTGCTGCTTCCATGGCACAGATGCTTTACGTTCGCTGGGACCTTTAGCACTGTGCTTGATAGAGTTTCAGGATGCATCTTTTATATTGACAGCACTGTCCTGCTGGTAACCCTTGGGACAGTTAATTCCATCCAGCTCACTGTTATTTAATCAGGGAATGGCTGAATGAGTGGCCACATATCCCTCCTGCTGGCACACGGTCAGGCTCTGGCAAGGGAAATCACCTTATCTAAATACAAACACTTAAGCATTAAGCCTCCAGTCTAAAGCTGGATGTCTAGACATCTCCAGTCAGCACTGTCTAGCAGTGCTAAAGAGCAAGTTATCCTTTCCTAAGTTAAGTGTCTTAAGTCAAGTGTGCTGAGGAAACCCCTGAGAGCATCAGTTGTTTTCCACTGGCAGTGCATGGAGTCAAAATAGCCAGCTTAAGCCAGGTATTTAATACTTAAACAGCTGAAACTCCAGGGTGATGAATTCCAGTCTGGAGCTTGAGCTGCTGTTGCTGCTGCCCTCTCCAGGAGCAGAGGTGACAACTGGGAATGTGTCAGCATTTGTGGGATTCAGTAAATTAACTTCTTGGTGGCTGTTTCAAATGGAGCCCAGGCTGGAAAGAATGTTATTGTTTTGTTCAGGATTAGCTCAAAAGCCAAGTGCTGGAGGCTAAGTCTACACATCACTAATCACTTGTGGATCTCTTACTTTTCAATGGCAGAAGGAATAAATACCAGGTTTGGAAGCACATGGAAGGTGCCTAGGGATTTATTTACTTGGTCAGTTTCTATCTACAGCTTAACACTAGGGCAGCTGATACAGACTCTTTCATCCATGCTAGTTTTGGGAAGAGAAGCTAGATTTTGATCCCATCAATTAAACTGGAAATACAATTTCAATTCTGTCTGCACATTGAAAATCAATTTCCTCTTCAGCAAAGCAGCAGTTCTGAAAAGCACCATTTGTTTACACGTGTACCTCAATTGCAGCTGAAACATGCTCCTGGTAGCTTTTTCCAACAAAAAATGAACTAAAAGCATTACTGAGACATTAAAAATAACATTCAAGTGGTTATCTACCATATAAAATTTCTGTCATATAAAAGCCTTCCCAAATCCCTTCTGTAGAAGCCATGGAAACTCTTAATAGAATAAAGTTATTTTGTTTGTTGAGTATGATCATACAGGAGTTGGAGTCCTCTAATGACCTCTCTGAAGTACTGAACACTGAAATCTGGCAATGCAAATACTAATATGTCAGGAAAATGCCATAGTGGTATTTGTGTCTCTGGATTTGTATGAAAACAGAAAATTTCTCTACTATCCCTTTATTTCACTCAGTCTGTGTAGCAAGAAGTTCATTTAAAAATAGGATCGTGGTATTTTATCAACTCAGGCATGAACATTTCCATACTGCTCTTCTCATTTCAGCATCTGCTCTCATCCCTGCACTTTTCAAGGGGTTTGCAGTTCACTCAGGCAGTTTGGTTTCTACAGGCAGCACCTTTATTATTCATTAACCTCACTGGGGACTTAGAACACAAAGAATGAGAGGTCCTAGAATAAAACTTGGCATAATTACTCTAGAAACCTAGCAATCATAGCAAATGTTCTGAGTGGCCTAAAGGTAACAGTCAGCCTGCAAATGATACAGAAGAAACATGTAAAATGTATTTTAGTACAATATTGTGCTAACTTATTTGTGTTTTCCTCCCTTTTTATCATAGATCTGGAGTATGAAACAAGACAGTTGTGTCCATGATTTACAAGCACACAACAAAGAAATTTATACTATCAAATGGAGTCCTACAGGACCAGGAACAAATAATCCAAATGCCAATCTTATGTTAGCAAGGTACTATTTATTCCTGGTTTTAAATGCTTGTTAAACATTATTTTTTACCTCACATTCTATAAATGTAAGTTCACAGAGTGTTTTGAAGTACATAAGATACTTTATCATATTCTATTTGTATTAGCAACAAAAACATATGTTCAATTGAGATGTAATTAATCTGTTTTTTTTTTCCTTGGCAGTGCATCCTTTGATTCTACTGTAAGGTTATGGGATGTAGACAGAGGAATTTGTATTCATACTCTGACAAAACATCAAGAACCTGTGTACAGTGTAGCTTTCAGTCCTGATGGCAGGTACCTGGCCAGTGGCTCCTTTGATAAATGTGTGCACATCTGGAATACACAGGTATTGCTCTTGTCTGTGTTGAGAAGTTTGTGTTTTGGTCTTTTCCATCCTTCCAAACTTTGCTTATCCATCATACTTCAGCCACAAAGACCTTTGTCATTGCTAACACACTGGTTTTCTCTTTGTTCTGAGATTATTTCTTTTAATGGTTGTGCATTTAATTTCTCTCTTTGAATGGTTGCCTGTGGTGAGGTAATACTTGTCTTTACATTGTCTTAGCAAAAAAACCAAAAAGACATAAAAACAAGCCAGAAAGATCCAAACCAAAAATTCTGACACCAACAAAACCCCACATTGAAAAAAGTTTCTCCAAGAATATATTTCATCCAAAAATTGTCTTTGTTAACTGTGAACTTTAAATTCCTGATAAAACTGGGGCTTTTGTGATAAATGATGACTGGGTCTAGACATACTAATCTGATTGGCTGTTTCATTGAATTTCACTGACAAACAAGAGAATGCAAAGTGAGGGAAGATAATGATGGCAAAGTATTTCTATGAAACTTTCTCAAAAAGGACACTATTACTTGTTTTGTGTTTCTGGCAGGAAAAAAGGGCATGTTATATTCAAAGTCTAAAGACCTTGTTGTCAGGCATGATGCAATCTCTGGCTACTGAGAATTGGGTATAAATTTCTCAAAGGCTCATTTTAGTAATTGGAAGTAGTTGTGACCATCCCCAGTTTTGCCCATCAAACACAGGAGCTCAAGATGCAGTGCCATATGCCACAAGGTGCTGAGGCTGTCCACAAATCTCTTCTGGACCACTTTCCTCTGAGAATTTTAGCTTTTCAAAGCAGTGGGGAAATGTTACATGTACAAATTGTGCTTGTTCACTTTGATTTTGTTGTATTAATTATTTACCTTGTCCCTTTTTTAGACAGGTGCCCTAGTTCACAGTTATCGGGGAACAGGAGGGATTTTTGAGGTTTGCTGGAATGCAGCAGGAGACAAAGTTGGAGCAAGTGCTTCAGATGGTTCAGTAAGTGTTGCTTGACTTGGCTGGTGTTCCAATAACAAACATCTTCTGGAAATCTTTTAGCCAACACTGGAGACAAAATTTCCTTCTCTAGCTGAAGGTTGAATACAGCCAGCTCAGCTGTAGTTTTCAACTGTAACCCTGCTGTGGTATTTTAATGAGAATATCTTTATTCCAGTCCAAAAACCTCAGAAGGTGGAGATATTTCCAATTTATATTTTCTGTTCCTTCTGAGGCTTACTGTGTCAGGGTGTTCAGTGTGGCTGGTTTGGAAACAAATTTGTTTTTCTTTCTCTGCCCTTTTCAAGGGAAGATGCTCAGTGTAGGTGATATTATTATAATGCATGACAGGAATAAAATACCTTCTGCATTACATTCAACAGCAAAACAAAGTGCAGATTTCCAAATGCTTGTAATTAAAAAGTTCCTAAAAATGTCAGCAGCTATATATAAATATCAGTCTGCTTACTTTGCTTAGGAAAAGCAGGGAATAAAATCATGTTTAACTAATCATGGATGCTCCCACTGCCATTTCACTGCAGGGTGTTGGAGCATCTCCTCCTGGCTGCTCTGACACTGCCCTGCAGAGAGCTGCAGTGGGGTGGGAATGTGCAGGGCCTCCATAAGGAGCACAGCCCTGGGGCTTTTGCTTGCCTCTGTCTCACCATGGTTGGCAAAGAAAGAGGAGAGCCTAAGGAAAAGCAAAATTAAAGTAAAATAAGGCCGATAAGGGAATTGTGTTTTGAAGTGCTGTAGCTTCCTTTAACAAGCGTCAGCAAAAAGCCATCCTGGCAGCTCAGCAGTGCAGAGTCTCAGGTGGCATCTTAGCACAGGTGCCAAAGCAATTCCCTCCTGAATGCTCCTTGCTGGTAAGTAATGCTGTTCTGTTAGCGTTCAAATCACAAAATAGGAAGTTCTGGATTTTAAGAAGCCTGAATTCCAGAGAATTAATTTTGATTGCTCTTTATATAATTTTAGTCTTGTAAGTATAGACAATATCATAAAAAGATAAAAGCTCAAGGCATATCCTGAGCAGAAATTGATTATCACTCTCCCAGATGACCCTTTTTTATACATGCTGTGTAACCTTTCCAGTCCTCCAATTAATTTGGCCCAAGAGGGTGATTGTACTTGGAATAGATTTGTTTTCATTTAGTTTCTGATATTTTAAAAAATGTTGGGCTTAATTTGTTCTATATTGTTCCCTAGCAAAAGCCCTTCTCCTCCACTCTGTTTTAAATGTGCTTGCACCTGGTGTTATCTTGTGTGTGGTTATTTTTTACTATATCTGACAGACCCAGCAGCACTGGCTCTGTCAAATATGGAAATCTAAGCACTACTTAGTGGAGATTTTGGGAAGACTAAAACTGGAATTTGTACACCATTAACGTTTTTCTGTACTTAGTATTTTAGTATTGTAGTATTTTAGTACTTGTAAAAATATAAAATGAAATTAGAGTCAGTTCTCAGCCTCACAGTATTAAATAACAGGCAAACAGCTTACATAAGATGTTGTTGCTGCTCTGATTGTAATTCTGAAGGCAGCAGTGCCTTAGTTCATTAATGGCTCACCTGTTCACTTTGATATTATTTAATCATTGTTAATGGATCCAAGGTGAAGCTGGCAGACCCCACGTGTCAGGTTTTGCTGTGATGCTTGCCCCAGAGCTGTGGGAGCCCGTGGTGCTGTGCAGCTGCTGCATGTGTGTCTCTCTCTTTGCAGGTTTGTGTACTAGACCTCCGGAAATAGCGCTCTTAGTTGGAAGCCATGGACCGACTATGAATGTGTACATAGCCAAAATGACTGTCCCTGACCCATGTACTGCTATAGTCCCAATCGAACCATGGCCAGTCCACTACAGCCAAATGTAAAAGAAATATATACATATACTGTATATAAAAAAAAAAAAAAAAAAAGGAGAAAAAAAAAAAGAGGAGAAAAAGAGGAGAAAGAAAAAAAAAAATTTACACCCTGAAGAGGATGACAGAGTTTTGTCACAGCTTGTGAATCCTGTTCACCAAGTGCTGGAATCTGCTGTGCCCCAAAATAACATTTAAAGGTTTTTGGATATGAAAAACAGAAGAGAGCGAGAGAGAGAGAAATATACCATATACAAGAGCAGACCCATATACATACCAAAATCAGAAGATACTAATGGCAGCCTTCATTACCCCTTCCCCCATGAGATCCATTCTCACGTGGATTTGTGGGGTGTTTTTGTTTTCCTTCTCAGTAGTTGAGCAGTTTGTGTATACAGAGAAAATGGACTTACAGAAATCTGCAGCAGTAGTTTTTTTTCCTTTGCTTTTAAACATTGGGTTTTCTGTTTTGTTTTGGTTAAGTTTACGGATGCATGAAGTAAGGGAGTGATTTAGTTTCTTGTTTATATTTTTTCACCTTGGAAAAAAAAAAAAAAGGCGTTTCTTTGAAACATGTTTTGATGCATTCTTTGAAGAGGTAGTTTGAACCTGATAATGTTTGGTACATTTTGTGGCTCCCAGAGCACAATTTTGTGAACAGAGGGAGGGTGGAAAAGGGATTAGGGAGAGAGAAGAAAAAAAAAAAACCCTTCTTTGCAGCGTGATATTCCACATCCTTCTCATCTACAAAGCAGGATGGAAATGGGTATAATGCTATGTTTGATTTTCTGGTGACATGGCTGAAATGCAGTAATTTCTTATTTGGGACATAATTCTGCCAAAAGTAAGAACAGAAGGGCACAAAAACACAGGAAAAAGAAAACAAACAGGGATGCTAAAAAAAAAAAAGGAGAAAAAAATAAAGAGGAAAAATGCATCTTCTGTTGTTTTAAGACCATAGGTAAAATATGGTTAAATTGTGCACTATTGTGAAAAGGAGCAAAGTATAGCTGGGGGATTTTGTTTAAGTGGTTAAGATCTTTCTGGACAAGGGTTCATGCCACAGCTTCTTTGAGAGTTGCCCATCATTATTTGTAGGAGCTTAGATGTATAATTGTAACCAAACTCCAGTATTAAAAGTATTTCATGTAATTTTTCTTTATTAAAATAAAATCTTTGGCATATATTTGATAACACTGCCATTAAGGGGCAAAATGTTTACTACCTTAGATTTAAAAGAAAAAAGATCTTAAACAGAGGACTTGCTTCAAGTTTATTTTAATAGCAGTGATTCAGCTTATTTAAAAGATGAATACTTGCACTAATTCCCCTGCTGCTCCAGTCCTGCAGTTTATTGTATCTTGTGACTACATTTTTTTCCAAATATAGGGTAGATGTAAGCTGCTATTTTTTTAACAATCACTACTATATAGTGTCTTTTACTCTGTTTACAATATCAAGTATTTTTCTTACAATGACAGATGTATATGGCAAACCTTTTTCTGCTCATGTGATTAAAAGTATACTAATAGTGATTTTATTTGTAAATGATAGCATGAGGTTGTGTTTATGCGTATGTGTAGTCGAAAAGGTTGCATCATGTCTTGCATAAGATTCCAAGAGTGTAAATTTATAAAAAGAGAGGTTGTCAAATTTATGTCACAGACATTTTACTTAAGGAATGATTTATATTACAGAGCTTTGCAAAGTTATTGGTTTTATAACACTATTTCAATCACAATTAATTTTGTGACTTATGATTGTTAGTCTCTAACCTATTTTTTTATTCATTTGGGGTTCTTTTTCCCCTGTCCAAGTTAAGTATAAATTCATTTAATTGAGATAATGCAGCTTTGACATTTAACCATTGTTCTTTAGGCATCGATTTCTGCTATTTCCATGAAATAAACATGACTTGAAGCAAGTCTGAGTTTGGCTAAGGTAGGGTAGCAATTTGCCGGTGGTTAAGACAAGTCAACAATAATACATGGTTTATATACAGCCCAGGATTATACTGCTATCATACACAGCATTTAAAACCAACACCAAGTCATATCCATAAAGACAGTTATCTGTGGTGGTTCTGTGCCAGCTATTTTTAGGGTTTTGGAACATATTGCAAATGTTTAGAGCAATTACCCTGTGAGTTACAATATGTAGGAAACCTAATATATTGAGTGTCTGGCACTTGAAATATTGCTTTTATTGCTGGAGGTCCATGACTGTGGCTGACCTCTGTCATTTAATGAAAAAAAAAATAAAAATAAAAAAAAAATTCTGTGCAATAATTTTAAACTGTGCTCCCAGGAATAGACACAAATGTTTTGAGTATGTTTAAGCTGCATTTTTCGTTTAGCAATGCATTTGTCAATTGCACTGAATTTAAATCTGAAAGTCAGAAGTGATTCTTGATAGTACTTTTGTATTTTAATACGGACAGTTTATTCATTTTCATAAAAGCTATTGGATGATTCTTTCAGCCAATCTAAACCGAATTGTGGTGGAATTCTGTGACATAGCTGCAAAATCACACAGCCATGTTTTAGGGTGTTGCCATTTTCCTCTTTCTCAATCAGCTGTTTTTTTGGTTGCAATTCCAGTTGCTTCAGCATAGCATCCCCCACTCAGAAATAGAGAGCACCAGAGCTCCAGCGTGTCCAGGCAGGGCTGTCAGCAACGTTGGCTCCGTGGGCTGGAGTGTGGGGCCAGGCCAGCGTCCCCGAGCCGAGGTGTCCCGCTGCCACGGGGCCAGGCAGGGTGCCCAGGCCAGGCAGTGTCCCCGAGCCCGGCTCTGGCCGTAGCTGTCCAGCTGTCCAGCTGTCATGCCACAGTGCTGCTCCTGCTCCCGCTCGCCCGGAGCCGCCGCGCGCCGCGTTCTGCCACCCCGCCAACCAAAAACCAGACAAAAACACCGCAGAACCCTGACGTTAATTGCTGGTTTTAATAGCACAAAGGCCTCGTGTTCCAGGGTGGGGTAGACTGTCCAGATTGCTCCTTTCAAAGGGGAAGCCAAATGGCAGCAAGGCCCTGACTTTGTGTAGCGTGCACGTGCATGCTCAGTCTTACGGATGGAGTCGTTCCCATTTTTATCAGTTCAACAAGATAACAGGCAAATATCCAAACAGAGGATAAAGGGGAAAAGCTGGGCTCAGAATTAACAATGGGGTAAGAAATTAACTGCTCTTGAGTTCGCTGTCTTTCTGTGCATCCATCTCAGAATCCCGTTTGTCATTTTTGCATGACCAGATCCAGGTTTCTGTAGAGTTCGTCTTTTTCTATTTTTACTTCACCTTTTTCTGCATTTTTAAATTGATGTAAAGATTCCCAACCAGTGGACTTTTTAGTGTAGTTAAGAGAATATCTAGGTCTTCATAAAAGCTTTTTTAGACTCTTTGTAATGTTGATAAACTGAGTTTATTCTGGGACTACCATTGTGCAGGGTTATTTAGCATGTCTACTAGATGATTGGAAATTCTTATATGAAACACTAAAAGTGCCTCTTTTTCTGGGTTGGGTGGAGGGGAGGTAGTAGTTACCAGAGTCAGAACGACATGGCATTTCGAAGCATGTTTCTTGATTTCGTGACACTTTAATGCATCTTGAGAGAAAGGCCAAAGATTTCTACCAATTTTAATTGATTTTCATTTTAGAAAGCACTCCTTTTTCCTTACACTGCTTACCTCATGCTGGGGCGTCTGATGGGGAATGTCCTTTGTGTTTAGGGAGAGCAGTGGGCGGCACAGGGCGGCCGTGCCGGTGTGCCAGCAGAGCCACCTCAGCAGCTGACACCTTTAATTCGCTACAGGAGCTTCATTGCAAACTGGGGGGTTCAGCCTGGAAATGCAAGGCTGTTCAGAGAAAAGGGGAGCCTTGGGATCTGATTTTTCCAATCTTTACTCCACCAGGAATCCCATTCTCTCGGTTCACCCTCGCCAGGCGAGCGCTGGCTGTGCCGAACCCCGGTGTGGATAAAATCAGCCTCGTCCCCTCCAGCCGAGGGTCCCCAGTGCCCGTGGGGTTTTGCCAGAGCAGGGCCTGCTGGATTTAGCCCAGTTCCCTTTTTTTGGCTGATGAGCAGGATCGCTCCTCCCTTCCCAAAGCCCTGTAGAGCCATTCCCCGGTGGGATCATCCCACCCTCTCCAGACGCCTGAAGAAAGCAGAAGCAACATTGTGGCATGTTAGCAGCAAATGCGGCTTCGGGAGACAGCAGTCAATCTCCATCGAGATCCCTGACATTTTCCGTAGGGAGGGAGACATGGAGCAGTTTCACTTCTCCCTCCAGAGCAAGCTCTGAAATACCACGAGCTGTGAAAGTGTGACTGTCTTCACTGTCAGTCTGGTGGGAGGCAGACCAACCAGGAGAATCTGCCATTTCGAGTGGATTGCAGATTTAGTGTTAATAGTGCTTCAGATCAGTAGTTTTGAGTACATAATTCGCTTTCTCTGCCTTTAAGTTTGAAGCTTGACAATAACTTGAGGCATGTTTTTGTTTTGTTTTTGTTGGTTTTTTTTTTTTATTTTTAAATAATCATTCATTTTTACTTCATAATGTTTTTTGACATTTGTGGGTAAATACAAGAAAACAGTCTGCATGTTGTTGCTAGTCCAGTGTACTTTGCAATCTTGTCCTCAACAGACTGCAGTGTGCAGAACAGTAATTCTAGAATACAGAAGTAATTTTCTCTCTCTCCTGACATTGACATTGTAGTTGTAATGGTTTCATTTGGAGTTACAAATCCTTTGGGTCTAATTCTGTGAGCCTACCTATAGCACTGGATTAAAATGTCTGCATCATTTCTTCAGTTATCCAGTTAAACTACAACTGTTGTAAAAGTGTAAACCAGCCCATGACAGTTTTTTGTACTTGTTTAAAGGACTTTTATTGTTCAGTTTTCATGATTATTGTCTAAAGAAGACTGATATAGATGTTCTATACTGTCCTGGACCATGTTAATTACACTTTATGATGTATTTTGGTTCTACATCACAATGATTTGTCCCCAAGGCCCTTATATCCCT